TTACTGTGCATAATATGCATATCAATGTGAAGGCCAACTGCAATACTATAAATGGTCACTTTACTCAGATTGCTCAATGTGAATATCATGACTCACTTGTTGTATTTACTTGTAAAATTGCACTGTACATACTTATACTCTTATTTATTGTCTGTGGTTATATGTCTGTTTTTCTAACACCAGTCAGGAGCAGTGCTCCTAATTTCGAAAAGACAATTCAATAGAGCGTCCAAATGCGTCGCGTCACGTGACGGGGTTGCGCCGTGACGTCACTCTGACATGGAGCCAGCGCTGGTGGCGGACCGTTGGTCGCGCGGTTGAGATGGAGCAAAGTTCATTCAAACGACTGGAAGTTGACCCCAGAACCCGTTAAAAACGAGACCTAGAAACATTCCCCGTGATCTTAAGACGGTAAGATACAAGCGACACACGCGTATAGAGGACAAAATGGAAGAAAAACAGCCGTGTTTCGGTAACGCGTTAGCTCGTTTGACCGGTGACTGACTGTGTGTGACGGGTGATGTGTTGACAGCTCATTAATTAATCTACGCAATTTACAGTCTGAAACGATTATAAACTTTCAGTTTCAAAGACATAGATGCGTGTAGTTGACTTATAAACGTCTGTCTGACGTCTTGCTGTTTTTTTGTAGCTGCGTCAGTCAGTAACGCTACGTGACGTCACGTCTGTACTGTTTTACAGTATCATAACAACAGTGTCTGACACCATGGTACTCCAAGATGCTTGTAATACTATGGAAATATTGATTTCTGTGGTGTATGGCAAAGTATCATGCTAATGCCACCTGATATCTAATCTCTTTACCGTGGTAAAACCACAGTGCTTTATTTGTAGTGTCTTTTTACAAACTATTAAGGCTGAATGGGGTAAAAGAATTAACTACATTTTCTGAAATGTCATGTTTACAAATGCAAATGAGGCATTATCTAATTAAATATGCACTCATTTGCATACATTTCAGAGTATGAGTACAGAAACCTGAACTCGGGATAAAGCCAGGTTCAAAATAATTGTGTGTTTTTGTTGACTGGTTAGAGTTAAACGCAGTTACAGAAGGGATTTTGGATTTCTCTAGAGCTGCACAATTAATCGAATTTGTAATCGCGATTATAATTACGGATTCCACACTTACATAATCGTTTAAAGTTCACTTATGTTATTCTGCATGTTTTTTTTGCATGTGTTATTTTAAGGGTTTTCCATAGGGATGCACGATATATCGGCCACCATATCGGTATCGGCCGATAAATGCTCATTTTTTCTGTTATCGGTATCGGCCCGATAAGAAAATTTGGCCGATAAACCAATCCAATGTATAGTTGACATCTGAGGCTTAATACTATAGAAAAGCAATACAAGTTTTTCAGTTGGAGTGTTTTTTAAGCGTATTTTTATATAAAAAAAATATGGCATGCAGTTGCTTCAAACAATGGTATAGATATAATTAGTGCTGGGCGGTATGACCAAAAATTTATATCACGGTATTTTTCAAAATTATACCAGTTTCACGGTACATGAAGGTATTTTTTTTTCATGCATGACCGGGTGTTAACCATATTTTCTACTGACTGAGAGAGGAAATACTGCAGTATATTGACTTAGAATGCCCTATTTTACTGTCATGATGAGTGGAGCTGATGGCAGAGAGCGCTGGATATTTGTGGCGGTCAATGTGGATATTGTGGATGAGTTCTTCTGTGTCATCATGTTCTATTAGTTCTACAGCTTCAGTTTAGGAAATTTCACGCTTAGTAGCACATACAGCTGTTCCCTCACCACAGTGCAACAGTGAAAAGGGACCCCTTTCAAACATTGTCGCATTCCGAATGTTGTTTAAGCGACATACACTGGTATTGCGGTATTTAAAAAATTAATATCATAACAAAAATAAACACCGGTATTCGGTATAAACCGATATACCGCCCAGCACTAAATATAATTCAATGTAAATTGTGATAATCGTAATTAATAATCGCAATTTCAAGGGAATATTCATAATTTTGTTCATAATGGTGCAGCCCTCGATTTCTCTTTTTGTCACTAATACTGTCGACAACCATAAAAATTACATTTTCATCATGTTTTTATGAAAAAAAGTTATGCAAATCGATAAAATAAACATCGAAACGTGTATTTTGGATGTTTTCTTTCTACTAATCTGAAAGACGAGATGTTATGAAAACAAAATAGGCCAAAATCTCAAAATGTACCAGTGCATGAAAATGTCATGTCTTGCCTAATTAAAAGTGAAACCACAGTCATTAAAAGTAGTTCCTGTGCTAATTTGTGAACTATTCAAATCATTACCGGTCAATTTATAACGTGCTTAAAAATCTTCATAATTTTTCATGTTGTTGACAGTGTGCTGATGGGAGCTTTTACCATGATGCACTGGCACGCAGAATTAAGCCAGAAGAAACTAAAGATGGTTTATTGGTTTATTGATAAACCCTGCAGCTCTGCTGATGGATGGATGTTAATCAGGCATTTTGACAGAGTTTAGACCTTTTAACAGAATATTTCTCACAACAAACTGACTTATTTTCAAGTCATTCTGAATGAGAATTGAATGTAGTCCTCAAGTTGTACAGTATCGATGACTGTTATAGTGCTTTTACGTTCTTATTGGAGTACCCAACTCTCTTTGTGGGAAAGAACAAATATGGCACTAAGGTGAAGTTTTGTTGAAATTGTGAGAATCATTTATTTTAGTATCACTGAGATATTATTATAGTTTTTGTTAATATTTTGAACCAGTTTTTATTTTAATTTATTGTCCCTTTTCATTTTAATTTTAGTTAAAATATTAGTAATTTTGTTGTGTTTTTGTGATTTATTTATATAGTTTATATAAATTTTTCTTTCAGTTTTAGTACATCACCTTACAAAGCACGTTCAAACTGCTTTTGTATAGTTTTAATAATCAGCTTATTTGTAAGGAATACACTACAGTGATTTTTACATTTGATTACTATTTGTTTTTCTTCTTTGAATGCTTCTGTTTAGATGTAAGATGAAAAAAGCAATGCACTATTTAATTTGTTTCTTTCTAATATTATATTCGTTCTACTGTTTATTTGCATCGTTGTTCTAATTTTTTATAAAAAAAAGGGAAAAAATTGATATATTTATTGTGATTATTAATATAGTAATTATTAATAAGAAAAGAAGTGGAGGAAAAGATGCAACGTTGCTCGGTGATTTTAGTTTGGAACCTTCAGAAAACTTTAACTCAATGTTTTATTTATTTATTTATTTTTATTTACTTTGCTGAATCGACTTCAAACGGGTGTAGCTCAGTCATTGTTTGGTTGATTCCAACAAATCATGCATCATTTTGAAGGTTTTTTCTCATTTTGCCAGCAAAGGTCACATATATATTTGTAGTTATGGAAAATATCAGCAGAGCAAGTACAAATCCTATTGTTTGCTGATGAAATGCCTTACTTGAAGAAGTAAAATTATTTACAACCAGCAGTTCACCTCCAACTCCATCACCCTGAACGTAGGAGCTCCACAGGGCTGTGTCCTGAGTCCCTTGTTGACATTTACAGTTTGTCCCAATCATAATTGATTATAAGCTCTGTTTGTTCTCTTTGGTTCATCAGTAGAATGTTATTGGGCTCTGTGTGTGTGTGTTTATCAGCACTTTCTCTCAGTAGACAGTAGTGCTGTGTTCAAAATATCGATACGACGATGTATCGTCACAGAGATTTGACGATACGAGTATCGATACAGCTGGCCCAGTATCGATATTGTGGCACGTGTGCAGCAGTGGACCGCGCTTAATTTGTTTAAAATGTTACAACGTTTAGTTTAGAGTAGAAAAGTGCAAGGTTTCTAAAAAAGAATGAATAGAGCATATATAGGCTACAACAAGGTTTAATCTGGCCG